CAGGCTGACTAAAATGGAACATTTAACAGAGTTATATACAAAAAGACAAAGATGACTGTTCTTTCTTGTTTGTTCTTGAAAAGAACGTTCGTTGAATTTTGAACATGAAAATAGATCAAATCAATGTTCGTTTCTTCTTTTCTTTATTTCTTTTCTCTTCATATGTTCATGTCAATGTCGTCAGATTTTCATAGCAGTGTTATATTTCTTATATTCTCGTTTATTTATTACTGCTTTACCCTCTGGGTTTATAAAAATTCGATATCTCAGCAACAAAGCTGATTGAGCACGAACCAAGTTGGGATCCTTCATAGTCCATGAGGATCTACATTTTAAAAATAGTCCCACTCAAAAAGGTTTTTAGCACCTCAGGCGGTTCGCTCGTAAGATTTATCGTTTTTCTCCTCCTCTTCTTCTGATTCGAGTTCTCCTTCTTCTTTCATGCTGACATCAGCAGTTCGTTCTGTTTTATTTAATTTATTTCTCATGAATTCGTTATCATCTGTCAATGTGATAAGTAGAGTTGGATATTCAATAATAGTTCGATCTTTAAATATTTTATCAATAGTATCAGGGTGAATGCTTCCGTTAGTCGTTGTTGACATGATTTATTTTTCGACGCTATATCCTTGGAAATAATAAATACTATGACAAAACTTTTTGCTCGAATAGAAGCAATTGTTACGACAAATATTTTGTATATCTCTGAAAAAATCTTAAGAGTCGGTATCTCAGCAAACCAGTTACTGTAGTGAAGCGATGATCAAGTGTCATGCCACAATCTGTTCATTTTGTGAAACGCGATCTAAAGGGAGTGTTGTAGTGTATAGAGGTAGAAATTTGGATTCCTCATCCCTCCACAGACGTGACAAATACGTGCAAAATGCCTGGTTGCTCACGTAACAGACGCCTTAAACAAAGTATCACAACGTATGTAAGTATCACAATCGATGCGTCGACAGACGAATGGAAATAACAAAAAAAGCATTGAACAGCGATGAAAAGTGTTATTGATACATGGTAAAGTGGATCGAAAACGTATACCCGTGATCAAGATCTATCCAAATCAGTCCTCGAATGAGTTTTAGAATATAGTTGCCATCCAAAGTCGTGCGAATCATTTCTGTTTGCAGATGTAAACGGTGCAGGTCAATCGACTGAAACAGGGAATCTATCGAATAATCTTCTTTAGCGACATGCTGCCAGTGATAGTCTACGGATGATTATGAAACGGACTTCTGGCTTTTCACTAAAAGAATTCATAGAACAAAACCTCAACTTGCCGTAAAATTCCAGCAACTATTCAAATGACACTGAATGTGGTCAGAATCCTTCAACAGGTGCATAACAGAGGGATTTTTCATCAAAAAATTTGTCACCAGAAAATGTGATGATCGAATGGGATTCAAAACTCACGATCGATCAGCTCAGCTGACTGTACGGAATCAGTCAGGTGGTGATCTTATCGAATAGAACATACACTTCAGTTATATCATTAACCCAGGAATGGTATCATGTACCGCAAACAGATGAGAAAGGATTGAGCTTGACAATTGTGACAATCCAGCATGTGTGCCATTTTTTTTCTGAATACTGACACAGCTTGCCCCTCAGCATGACAGTACCGAACTTCCTCACCAACAAGCCTGTGATAAACTGAATGACAGCATTAAAAGTACCGTCAAATCGACAAGTATGTAACTTACGCTTCATTTAGATAAATTTGTTTTATTATTTAGACATGGATCGGCAGTCACTGTTGGAAGAACAACTAAAAAGGTATTTGACGGATACATTTGATCGCGCGTTCGGCCGTCCAGATCACCATTCATGTCTAAATAATAAAACAATCTCGGGCTTCATTATGCCTAAATATGTTTTTTGCTTGTTAGAGAGGGAAGAAGTAAATAAAATAGAAACTGAATCACGCTGCTGGATAGAGAATTCGACGCTCTTCAAAACATGCTATTTTTTTTTAATTTTATTTCCTTCTCTCCTTAGAAAAGAATATTTTTCTGTCGATGAATCATAAAAAAACGGGTATTTTTGAATAAATTTTTTTTGAATAAATTGCAAAAAATACGCAAAAAATATAATTGTACAAAAAAGTTACGATTCACTCATATATATTTACGCGCCAGCTTTACACTTTAGTTATAATAGTGCATTTTTTTCTCAGAAATTAAATTAATTATGAACATATCAAAAGCTTTACAGATATACATTTGTTCACATAGAGTGGAATTCACACAATACACATACGACCAATTTTTAATTATCCATTCTCTCCACTTGCTGTCGTAGTCGTCTCACTCGTAGTATTTTCTTCCTCATTCATCGCCTGTAATCGGGCATCATTTCCCATGGTCAAAAATAATTGACGTATCGATTGTTATTCACGTTCAAATGGGTTACTTTCATTTTCAAACAATACATGCTGGCGTTGACGAGTACGATGCTGTCTGGGAAAAAAGAAATGCTACACATTAAAAACAATTTTTGTAGTTTCTAAAGTATTGTACCGAAAGTGGCGATGTAGGTTATAAGACACTCATTATTTGCATAGTATATCAGAACCGTAACTTACTGTTTTTGATTATATTTCTTTGGATTTTTTAAATAATCTTCTAAAACTAGTTCGTCATCTCAACCCCATGGTAATATCGAGAAAGTTACTAACTAATCGTATTGCATATGCCACGTATGAGCAAATGGTGTTAACACATAGTGTTTCAAAAGACCTGTTGACTATTGAAAAACATATTGAATATTTGGACAAAATAATGTTAAATAATTACTGTCTGGATCAAAATCCCAAGATCATAATCATATGCCTGAACAAATTTCATTTCGACAATGTTCGAAATGCGGACAGTTTTGATGCAATGGAAATGGTGCAGTTCAACGTCATTGTGAAATACATAATACAAACAACATCTTGATTATGATTTTGGTTTGATTAGGACATTATTTTCTGTCAACAGAGTTTCCAGTGTATAAGGTGCTTTTTGTTTCAACCGCTGCCGGCGAAAAAATATTTCGTGCTTATAGGTATATAATGAGGAATGGGAGTAGTGCATCAAGTGCACCAACGAATGTAAACAGTGTAAATTTTGGCATACGATGTTGATAATTACCGATGATAGGTTTGATATCATATTCCGTGCCAAAGTAAACCATTGAGTTCAGTTGTGAAAGCAGATTTTGGATATTGCTTTATCTAGAGGTATTATATACTAATATAGTTAATAGTTAAACAAATAGAGATAAAATTGTTTTGTATTCGTACAAATAGTATTTATAGCTAGATGTTTCAATTTATTTGCTAAATTTTCATCTGTAGCAGTAAAAAAATTCAAAGTGTAACTTTCAATTCATAACTAAAAACATAATCAAACATTAACGTTTAACTAATGTAGTTTTGTGCATAATCTTTAACTGACGTTGATAGTCAAAGGAAATTTACAAAAGTAATAAATTCCGTATCTTTCTTTAGAGTTTTTATCTTTCTTATGATTTTTTCTTTTCGTCTCTTATGTTTATAGTCCCTCCTATGTCAAATTATTTTCTGTGTGTTGGCTTTTTTCGAAGATTATGATGTGTATTGTAACGTGTCTGATCACGTACAGTATTTTTACTACTCTCTGTACGATCACCTCTGTTATAACTTACTGCATCTGGCAGATATTATACGACAAATTCACAATTGAATACACGCTTTCTAATTTCCTTCGTCTATAAACATTACTTTCGGTGTCGTACATCGTTGTCGGACGTAGGTTATGCCACATACTATAATGGGACTGGCGACATCATTTAATATGTTGTGGCTATAATTCTTAATACTTGATAAGAATATAACTGGAAACGGAGAAATCGACATAGCATCGACAGTATTAGATATAGAAATGTAATCTTTGCCACAAAAAATATGACTTTTTTAACATTCACACAAAAAGATGTCTCGATAGATGTCGGTAGATTACACTTTCTATTACAAATAGACTAGTAAAGAAAAGCAACACGAAATGCGCACCGTTTTGTTCTTTGATGAAACTTTTAATATCTTTTCTAACCAACGATGCAATATCAGAAAGATCAATATTTGTTCTTCTCACACATTTTTCTCTCATAATAAAATGTCAGGTACTCTACACATTGAAAAGCAGAGTAGACGCATAACGTGCTGCTACCAAGATGACTTCGTCATCGTCACAAAATGATCGTCCATTATTGGCAGCAGCTCTCTCAGCCATATTGGGGAAAAACGTATTACCTGTTTCAGACAATCGGAATGTGAGTACACTGTCCTTATTCGATCATCATTTGACAGCATTTTCATCTGGAAAAACGAGTAGTGATACTGATGACTCATTATCATCGTCGTTGATGACCTTGAATATAGTGCTATCATCCACCAGCGGCGAAACATATCAATGTGAAATTGAAAAGAATGCAACTGGTGATCGTCTGAAACGCCTAATTTACGATCGAGAAAATATTTTGTGTGCAAATCAGAATTTAATTTATTGTGGTGAAGAAGTCGATGATGGGAAAGCGTTGAGTGATTACGGAATCAGCAATTTAGATACAATCCATGTCAGACGTTTGCGAAATATGCCAAGTGATCAGTTGGTATTAGATCTGAATTCATTGGATGAGAAATATAATTATGATTTTACCAACATCCGAGATACTGTGACACATTTTGTGCGTGGTGGCGTGGAATATCGTCGACCGTGTGGCTGGAAACGATTTGCCATCAGGGTTATCGGTAAGTACGAAAACGAAGAGTGGCTTGGTTGTTCAAATGGATTGGGTGAGTGGCCAGTATCCTATCACGGGACACGGCTGGATGCCGCCAAGTCAATATGTCAAGCAGGCTTTGATCTATCGAAACATGTGCGTCATCTTTATGGTAGTGGAGTTTATTCAACACCTGATGTCAATATCGCTAAACAATTCACCAAATGTTTTAAGTTTAATAATCAGGACTATTATGTCGTACTACAAAATCGTGTAAATCCCAAAACAGTGAGGAAACTCACGAATGCAGAAACAAAGGAAGCGGGTGAATATTGGATTACACCAGATGCGAAAGATATTCGACCCTATGGGATTTGTATAATGAAGAAATAGTCAGACCAAGGGAAGAGACGGATCGAGTTTATCTGTGTGAATTGACTAGCTGAACAGATACTGTTCTGATACAGGTACTTCTCATGTTATAATTACTAGACAAAAGTGTTTGATTTCAAACGTATGTATGGACAGATTTCATTTGAGTTTGATGGCTTACTGTGACTTCATCGTACAGAATAAATAATGTTCGTTGGANCCTATGGGATTTGTATAATGAAGAAATAGTCAGACCAAGGGAAGAGACGGATCGAGTTTATCTGTGTGAATTGACTAGCTGAACAGATACTGTTCTGATACAGGTACTTCTCATGTTATAATTACTAGACAAAAGTGTTTGATTTCAAACGTATGTATGGACAGATTTCATTTGAGTTTGATGGCTTACTGTGACTTCATCGTACAGAATAAATAATGTTCGTTGGATACGTTCTTCTGAAACTTACTTCCTTGTGAATTGTTGCTGCACGCTGATCATTACATACTTCACAGATCCTGCCTGCGAAGTGTGAACAAGATGGGTATTTTTCTCAATAATCTGTCTCTCTAAGATGTGTTCCATAAAGAATGGCTGTTTATATTTTGCGTCGTTCTCTATCAGTTTTGATCGTTGAGACTTGAACATTTTCCCAAAAGATGGCCCATTCAATTCTCTACAAAAACGTACGAAAACAAGTACTCTAAAATGCAATTATGAAATCCTATACAGTCAGCATTGACATGTCCTCGAACTGACCGCTTAGTTTTGTGAATTTTACACCACTGTTGGACTAAATATGCCATTTTGCAGTCCTTACAGACGAGTTGCAGGTGAAAAATTCTAATGCTTAAACCAGCATGAATATTACCTTTCTTTTTCTTCTACTGTGTTGACATTATCGAATTTGTTGTTGAACTTGTTTGCAATCGTGATTTAGTTGGATCGAAACGTAAAATCTTATGGCCAAGCCTTTTACCAATTTGAAGAAAAATGTTTCTTCTATCCCCTTGAGAAGATCAAACATGTGGAACGTGAAATTTCTATAATAGAGTGGGTGCGAGATCGAAACCTTCATTTAATCCAAGCAAGTTTGCAAGGAAAATAGGCATTAGCACTTTATAATCTAATTCGAACGAATTGTTTTGAGCAGTATGAGAACGAACACAGTCGAAAACACAGAAAAACGTGCACGAGAGGGACTTGGCGTCATGGTCAGACCAGACATGATAATTCATTTTAGGAAAAAGGGCATTTGTAACAGTTCCCTTCAGAGACATACTAGTGTTGGCTTCATAGAATTTCACGGTTGTATTTTACAGGAATCCTTTTCACATGAATGTGGATGGAATGGACTATCTTTTGGAAAAACGCTCAAGTCTCAACGTTCAAAACTGACAGAGAATAGCACTTCATATGAATAGTGGTATTTTTTATGGAACTCTCGTTACTTATCATTCTTCTCTGGTGCACTGACGCTGGTTCTCAACAGTATCCTGCCATATTTCTTTCTTTTCAGAGAGATCTACTGTAAAATGGCATCAGCCAGGTCACCATCTATTCGGCAACAGCAAAAACTAGCGTTGGTGGTGGGAAATAATCGTTATGTAACAGAGTCTGTATCACTCTACACATGTGTAAAGGACGCCACAGATGTAGCTGCTATACTAAAGAATATTGGATTCCAGGTTACATTTGACACTGATCTAGATTGTACAAGTTTTAAAAGGCTTATTAAAGACTTCATCAGAAAAGTGCAAGATGGGGACTTTGTATTATTCTTCTTTGCCGGACATGGAATGCAGTCAGATGATCAGAACTATATGTTACCTTGTGACTATGACTATGTTAATAGACGTGACCAAAATTATGGGGAACAAGATTATCTTCGAGTTTACGCAGTGAACGCTCAAAATAGTCTGAAACAGATCACAGAACAAAAGCCATTTGTTACAATATTCATGTTGGACTGCTGTCGGCGGAATACTCGTGCAGGTGGTATACTGGAGAATCATGCTGGTTTATGTCCAATGATGGCACCAGCGGAATCGCTCATTGTATTTTCTTGTGCACCAGGAAGAAGTGCAGATGATTCACCTGTAAATGGTAGAAATGGCGTCTTCACCAAACATTTATTGAAACACATAACAAAACCAGATGTGGATGTTGAGTTCATATTACGACTCGTTGGTCAAGGTGTACACGATGAAACTAAAGGTTATCAACTACCTTATCGAACAAGTTGCATTACACATCCTCACATCCACTTAGTCTCGACTTCTGTACCACAGCAAAGAGTGATCAAGAATATAACCTCTCATTGCATGGTCGGAACAGGAATCAATGGTCGAAATGATGAAGACATTGAAATCTTAGCAGATATATTGAAAGTAAATATAACTTTCACTCAACTTCATCTTCGTTGGAACAAATTATCTGATAGAGGATGCGAAGCACTGGCTGAGGCGTTGAAGGTAAATAAAACTCTCACTGAACTACATCTTGATGGGAACCAAATATCGGACAGAGGGGGTGAAGTACTGATTAAGTCGTTGAGAGTGAATAAAACTCTCACTGAATTACATCTTGGTTGGAAACAAATATCTGATAGTGGAGGTGAACTACTGGCTGAGGCGTTGAACGTAAATGAAACTCTCACTGAACTGCATCTTGACGGAAACCAAATATCTGATAGAGGATGTAAAGCACTGGCTGAGGCGTTGAAAACAAATAAAACTCTCACTGAACTGTATCTTGGTTGGAATCAAATATCCGCTAGAGGAGGTGAAGCACTGGCTGAAGCGTTGAAAGTTAATAGAACTCTTACACTACTTCATCTTGGTGAGAACAAATTATCTGATAGAGGATGCGATGCACTGGCTGAGGCGTTGAAAGCTAATAGAACTCTTACGCAACTACATCTTGGTTCGAACAAAATATCTGATAGAGGAGGTGAAGCACTGGTTGAGGTGTTGAAAGTAAATACAACTCTCACTGACCTTATTCTTGATGGGAACAAAATATCTGATAAAGGAGCTGTAGCGCTCAGAGAAGCGATGAAAGTAAACAAGACATTTAGAGTTTTTTTCTAAAAGTAGGTGCCCGCTGGTCATTGGACTTTTTTATTTGATTTTTCGAATATAATTTTTGATTTTTTTGTTAGTATAGAACGAAGAATAAACATTACTTTAATGTCGCAGCTGTTGATAAGCTCCCTCAATGTTTTGTCACAAATCGTCAAAGATACTTTACCGAGTTCTCGTCGTGGACGTATGCATGCAGCATACTTGCTTTATAGAAATGAACGGCAACATAACTCTCTTCGTTTACTGAGAAGGAGAGTTGGTGAAGCCACTTGACTTGGGAAAGTTGAGATGGAAAAGAGTATTGCGGCTTATCCAAGCGTAACGGTGTTACATTTTTGACATACTACTTTCCAATTATCTCGAGAACTTTAGGAGCTAGAAAGTTCATTCGCTTTATGCATTAGAATACTGGTCTTTTTTGCCGCGGTGAACAGATTGCCGAGAAAATTTAGCTGTATGCATAAAATTAAATGAATATGCCGACAGCATAAATCTTACAATTTGATTTTAACTTTTCTCTCGACATAATCTATGCGTTTTTTATACCTTATTCTTATGGCCCATAGCAACGCTCCTAGTGGCGCCATTAAGCGCCAATGGTTACGCTATTGGCTAACTTATAGAGTAAATATTTAGCGTAACTTATAGAGTAAAATATAATCAAACTTGCTATTTCTTAAGTTTGAAATATTAAAATTAAATTCAGCATACTTCAGCGCATAGAATAAGCGTGGAAAAGATCAAAGAAGGCACTTTTGATGCTAATTAAAAATAAGCGCGCGTCGAACGCAGAAACAGCGTCTAACATGGACGGCAATTATAATAATTAGCTGATTTTCTTTAAATACGAAATTGTCATTCATGCAAAACGTCCAAATTGATGCATGACTAACGGTTGAGTAAGAAGGCTTCCTACAAAAAAGTCAGAATTCAGCACGCGTTTTTCACTTATTTGAAATCCTTTTTACGCAATGATTATATCATGTTTTACTCGGACTTTTCTTCGAGAACATGTTGTAGTCAAGCTTCGGCATGCAGAAGTCTCCATGTGCAAGCAAAAAGTTGTGCTTTGAGAAATTTTGTTGGAAATTTGCTTCAATTTGAGCCAAAAGTACGGAAAACTTACTCCAGTTTTGTGAAAGAATGGAGTGAGTTTACTCCAGTTTTGGTTGCTCTTTTTACAGTTTTTGCTCAGATATTTGCTGTTTTCTCAAAAAAAATTAGTGCAGCGGTTCTGTTTTCTACTATAAACTTGACTGAACTAATTAGACAACAGGCTATGAATAACAATCGACAGATAAAACAGAATACCCATTTAAATTATACGTTTATCAGGCAGTAACAGTGTTTCATCTGACACTTTACAAATTCATTCTCTGTACGAATAATTAGATTCTTCTTGACAGAAT